CTACTTTTAAAGAAGGGTAAGAAGTGTTTTGAGATATTTTCTTTAATTTTGCATAAATTATTCATCATTTTTTAAAAATTGAAAATAAATCATTAACCGTCTATTAATATAATGATTTGAATAAATTTAAATTAATTTTCAATTCAGTGAACATAAATATCCCTTTAAAAGTCTTCGAAATGAATTTTTTTTTGGGAAATTATAAATTGCTCACAAAAATCCCATACAATCAAATATATAAAGATTTTCCATGCACACTTTACTTCGGCATGGAGATATGGAGTCTATAGAATATAGATGCAGTACATTAAAACTTTAGATTAAAATTTAATAACTCAGCTACATCGGAAATCAGTTTTTTACATATTTGTTTATTTTGACAATTAAAATACTGCTGACTAAAAGTACATAATATTGCAATAATCCCTTTTGTTTCATCATTTGAAATTAAATTTTTATTATTTTTTTTATTAACATACAAGCATTAGAAAGATACGTTTTTAGAATTTTTTTTTTTTTTACAATTTATATATGTACTGCTGGCAACACTTTCGCAAACATTTATAAATTGTAAAAAAAAAATTATAAAAACGTGACTTTTTAATGGTTGTACGGCGTTGATAAAAATAATAATAAAAATTTAATTTTAAATGATGAAACCAACAGAAATTTATATTAAAGACTAAGAGAAACTAAGAAAGTTTTAGGAAGAATAAGGCAGAAGGTAACTATAAAAATAATTTCTCATTCGCTTGTATTTTAATAATTTTATTTAAATTAAACATTGGTTAAAACCTGAAAACACAATCTTTAAATTTAAGATAATGAACTGCGATACGATAATTTGTTTTGCCAGGCTCAATTGTCTGATACTCTTTTTAATTGTTAATAATATTCTTGCAAATCCTATTTTTTACTTATACATTGTTTATTATTATTTTAATTATTATTCGTTTGAAACTCGTTACTTGAGGGGTTTTCAGGGTCGCTGATTACGAATCCGATGTTGATTTTTCAAAATTCCTCTGAAATTTGTTATTTAGAGTTTTCTGATTTGTTGCTTATACATCTCTAAAGTCAGTTTTCAAAAATTAAAAATTCATCCAATATTATGTCAGACAAATATATTAAAAATTGGTTTGTAACATTTTTAATTTCACAATGGCAAACAATTACAAACCAAGTTGAAAATTGCGGAGACAAACTAAAAGAATGCGATAAATTTTTCAATATTTGTCCGCCATATTGGATTGGACATTTTGAATTTTGAAAAACTAACATCGGATGTGTAATTAGCGACCCCAAAGTAACGAGTTTCAAACAAATCCGATCAATTTTGTAAATTTTAAAACTAGAAAAATTTTAGTGCGTCTGAGAGACTCAGAAGCCTGAGGCAAAGGGTTAATGATAGAACGTCCAAGCGCCCGTCCTGCCGGAAGGCTTTTTTTGATGGCCCTATATATATATATATGAGGGTGGTAAAAAGGGAACTCAAAATTTTTTTTTCCACCTTTTCCTATTAAAGTAGACGTAAAAACGAGAAAATTCATGCGTTCGACTTTAAAAAAAAATAATATTAAACCATGTTTCGAAGCCTTCAAACATTGCATGTTTGCTACAAGCCAAAAAAACAGTTTTTCGTAAATTCACTGTAAAATCTACAAAAACCAATATTTTTCAGTCTAACTACTCTCATTTTCTTCTGAAGTCTTCAAAGAATAAAATGTGATAGTTTATTTTAAAAAAAAATTCAGTTTAAATATTTTTTTGGATTTGTCAAAAAAACCCTATAAAAACGTCCTTTTCCTTTGAATTCCCTAGCCTAGGGATTTTAATTTACAAACATTATGTTTATATGCGCTAAAAGCTTGTGTTTTTACCTTTCCAACGATATATTTTACTTTTGGATTATCTGAATCCATGTTAATTTTATAAAGCGATTTCGGAGGGACTCATGTGAGTCTTTTTCATCCTGCCGGAAGGCTGTTGGACGTTCTATCATTAAAATAACAATATTATTAAAATTTATTTATTTTAATTAAAATGGCGCAATAATTTAAATACAATTTCACAGATTTTTATCATGGCTGTATCAGGTTTTATAATCTTTTTGCAAATTATTCATCGTATTACGTTCTGCAGCTACAACAATACTTCTGAATTAAATAAGGAACAAAATTCGAGGAATGAAGAAATTGGACGTCTCACTGCTTTAGGAATGGTTGAGGCAGAATTGTTTTATGACTTAACGCACACAGAAAATTTTTATAAAAATTGTTCAAATAGATTAGAGAAGATGTCCATTTTGCATGAAGAGATGAAGCATCATTCATCTGATCCAGAATGGTTTAAAAAATTTTATACTCTTGTCACTGAAACATATAAAGAGAATAATTTCTCATCTGTAATAAGTTTTGAAGATTCCTTTTCAATTTTTCATTATACTGATTATGGCTCTTCTCAAATAAAATATGATACAGATGAAGGTAGACGAATGAGAAATGCTATTTACAGATTAGCAATTATACAATCCAAAGATCCAAAAAAATATCATCGTTCTATATTGTATCGAGGACAAAGCAAACCCAACATGTGGTATGAAGAAAATTATGTTGTTAATAAAACGGAACAATTAATAAAATTTACTTCAACAACAACCGAAGAAAGAGTAGCAATGTACTACGCGGAAGGGGGAAAAAATGGAAGTATAAATATGACTGCAGAAGTTTCTAAATGGCATTTTCCAAAGCCATTTTTGAATGCAAATATTGAAAACATATCTCTTTCCCCTTTTGAACAAGAAACAGTTCTTCTTCCAGAAACAAGATTTATTACTAATGAAAGGATTCCGGTATTAAATCAAGAATATTTATCCTACGGTGAAGAACTTGTTGATATTAATTTAAGAATAAATGTAACTCATGCTGATGAAAATTTGAGTATATTTGAGCAACAGAAAAAAGTAATGATAAAATTAAAAGAACTAAAAGATTCTGGTACGAAATTTTATGTCGACTGTGAAGATTAAAGGGCTATTAAATTTAGGAAGTTAACAAGAAATAACGTTCATTAATATTATTGTAAGTTTTATTTCTGTGGAATTAATTTATACTTATGATTTTTCATTGGTTTGTTTTTGATTACAGTTTAGTATTTAATTCATAGAAATTTATTTATTCTTGTAAAAATTAAATTTTTTGTGTGCTGATAAAGAATATGTAATTTTTATTTGTCGAATAACATATATCAATAATAAAAATTATGAAACTAATTAAGATTTAACTGTGTTTTATTATCTTTAAAACATTTATAAAATCTTTAAAAAAAATAAACTAATTTTTTTTTCTAAAATTATAATGTTACATAGTTTTTTTTAAATAATAATAATAATAATAACTTTTACTACATGTTGCAATTGAAATCAATTTCTCATAAAAGTTAATTACCAGAATTTTCAATTTAAAAAATTTTATTAGACATATTTATTTTTTAGACAAATTCTCTTTTTTCGAATTAGCATTTGACACACGGTAAGAAAGGAAATATTTCATTAATGTACTAATTTATTCATGTGAATTTAAAATTTTCAGAAAAACTGTAAATAATTTATTTAAGAAAATGAACATTTTGTCGGGGTATCGGTCGTTCTTAAACTTAATATAATAATTAAAATTTTTTGTTTTTTTTTTGGTCAAAGTTAGTAAATTGAATTACAATTTTTTTATTCAATATATCTGAGAGTAAAAATACTATCCAAAAAAAATATGACATTAATTAATATTCTTTACTAAAGTTGTTATTAATTTTTATTTACATATATATAAAGAATAAATACTCTTATTATTTAATTATTATATAACTAATTAATAATTTAAGATTATTAAAAAAAATTCTTTTAGTAATTTAAAAAATTAAAAATGAGTTTGTAATAGATTTATGAAAAAAAAAGTTTTACTATCTATAAAATTTATTTGTTAGAATTTTTGATTTACACATAGGTAATTTCATTAGATAAAATTTTCTTTTAGCTGAATGTTTATTTGTGATAATTTCAATTTTTTTGAATTTAATTTTTTGACAAATTTCTGATTGGTTTAATTTTGAAATTTGTTACCAAAAATTTCAGAGAAATTCTGCCGAATAAAAATCAATTGAAAACATTGAATTATTAAAATTTTTATAGATGATATTTCTATTTTTAAATATATAATAAAAATCTCAGTCGAACACAATAACGACGAGTAAGATTCAAAGTTATTTGCAAACAAATTCAAATCTAAGAAATAGGGTAAAGAATTTCTGTTTTATTAGATTAGGTGGGCTTGCGCCCCAAAAAAAAAGAAAAAAAAAGTTTCGAGAATTTATAAATATAAGGAATTAATTCCTAATGTTCATCCTCTCAAAACATTCAAAAGTTTTGACTTCATTTGCAGTCTCTTGTTTTTTCAACAAGCTTTTACAAATGTTGTGCAAAACTTTGCCACTTGGCTTTTCAGCACTTTGAGCTGGCTTTTTTCTATCGCAATAGACTTTGAATCCAAACATTTGATTGCTCTCCATTTCGTGATGCAAAAAAAGTAGAAATGTTTCTACACCCAAGTGTTTGTAATTCAATGCTAAAGTGAAGGATAATTTTTCCCTTCTTCTGCGTCCCATCTATATACTAAAGGTTTGCAGTTTTCCTTGCGAGTGATAAATACTACAGCGCGCTCTAGCTGTTAGCGGGAGAACTAAAAAGCCCACGTAGAACATTTTTTTTTTTTTACTATTACAGACTCTTTTTTACTTTATTTTACTTTTTGAAAATTTTTATTTCACTAAAATATTTACAGAATTGAATAAAACTTGGCTATTTTTACCAAATTAAATTTTTTGTTAATAATTATAATTTTTTTTTAAAGTAAACAATATTTATTCAAGGTTGAAAATAATGTTAACAATCAAGTTAAATATAAATTTCTAGATATAAATTTGATAAGATCATTATCAAAATCGGACTTTACATAATGAAATGTTTTATTAATCGCAGTTACATTTTGTCATTTGATTTATATGTATATATAAAAAAAAAGTTAATAATATGTGATTGCAATGAGTAAATTTACAATAATAATATGTATTTTTGGAATTATTGGTAAGTGGATTTTCTTTAAAGAAAAAAAATATTTTATCAAGTCTCATGTATTTTTATATTTATTTTATGTACTTTTGAATCGCAGAAAATATTTCTTACTAATTTTCAAAAATTAAAAATTATTTTCAATATTTCGTACTTAATTATTTTATAATCAATTTTTTTTTCTTGAATTAAAGAAAATTTATTTCAAATTATATATTTTTCTATTAATTTTTCTATGAAATCTTCTTTATTTGGAGATTTTTTTTTACCACTTTTACATTTTTTTAAAAAACAATTTCAATTTTTCCACAAAATTTAAGATTTAAAAAATGTTTTTCAAAATTTTTTTTATTGTCTCATTCTTTTTTAAAGTATAATAAGAATAAAAATAATAAAAAATTTAATAAATTAGATATAATAAAACAAAAATAATAATATTAATAAAAAACAAGTATAATTTTTTTCCGCCCGCTAATGTTAGTCAGACGACAAAGATTTACTTTTCGCCCTCTATACAAGAATGGCATGTTTATTATGTGGATGTTGAAGAAAAAAATTATTTTTTAAATATAATATTACAGGATTTGATCTGTCATTTCAAATTTCTTCTTTTGAAACTCGAATTGTTGGTGGCCAAGATACAAAAATTCAAGATGTCCCATATCAACTTTCTCTATGGTATAAGGAAAAATTTATTGGCGGAGCTTCGATTATTCATTTAAAATGGGCTATTACAGCTGCTCATTGTGTTTCAGAAAAGTATGAATTTTTTATATAAATTCAAAAAAAAATAATATATATATATAAATATTATAAAAATAGCCAAAAAATTCGAATTTTCCGAATTAAATAGAATTTTTTTAATTACATTTTATAAATTTCAATATACGTTTTAAATTTTAATGGCTTTTATTTAAAACAAAAAAAACATTCACTCAAAAAACCTAATTTTTAGTAAGAAATTATTTATTAAAAATTGTAATTGAAAAATTATTTTGCAGAGGCCTTAATAAAAATGATTTAAAAGTTGGTGCTGGAAATGAATTAAAAGAAAATGGAATTTTTTACAAAATACAAACAGTTATTATTCATAAATTATATAATAAATATACAGCTGATAATGATATTGCATTGCTTGAAGTAAGAATTTATATTTATTTATTTTATTTTTTTTATCGTTTTCTTCTTATATGAAAAAAAAATTTATTTTTATTTTTTATTCATTAATAAAAACTGAAATAAAACAAATTTTTTAATAGATTCAAAATAATTTTAATTTTGGGAGCACAATTAGGGCTGTGAATCTTCCAGAGGGAACTTTTGAACCCTCTTCTGGTTTAGAAGTAATTGTTTCTGGATGGGGATACACACAGGTATTATATTTATTTATAAATATAAAATTTTATAAATGTTTTAATGTTTTCGAAAAATTTACACCTACAAAATTTTCTGATTGATGATTATTTTTCAAAAATTAATTTATTTTCATTATAATTTAAAATTAATTTCATCAAATTTTTTATTGAATAAAATTTTCTATTTGTCATACCAATTACAAAATTAGTTTGTGACAAAAAAAGGTGGGATTTTTTTTTTTTATTTCATTTTTCATCAACAAAAATTTTTAATTGAAATTTTTGAAAACAATTGAATTTCAAGCGATTTTGAATTGAAAATTTTTGTGATTATTGTTGCTAAAAAAATGTATATACAAAAATTGAATTTTATATGTTTTTAATTTAAAAATATTTTCAAATAATTAAATTTTTGAAAAATATAAAAATTATTAAAAATAATTGAATTTTTAAAAATTTACAGTTAAAATGTTTAGAAATAATTAAATTTCAAAAAATTTTTTATAAATTTCAGTCAATTAAATTTTACAGAATTGAAAATAATTTATCAAATAATTTTATTTAACCTTTGTTAAAAATAATTGAATTTTCGATGATTTACAATTTGGATTATTGAAAATAATTGAACTTCAAGTGATTTTTAATTAAAAATTTTGTTGATTTCTATTGTTGAAGAATTTATTAGAAATTACAGATAAAAATTTTTAAATAAAAAATAATTTCAGTTAATTGAATTTTTGGAAAAATATGATAAAAATCATTAAAAATAATTGAATTTCAGAAGAGTTATAGTTTAAAATTATTAAATTTCAAAAATTTTTTAAAAGAAAATTTTAGAAATAATTAAATTTTAGGTTTTAAATTGAAATTTTTCGAAAAATAATTGAATTTCAAGTGATTTTGAATTAAAATTTTTTGGTGATTTCTGTTGTTGAAGAATTTATTAGAAATTACAGACAAAAATTGAATTTCACAAAATTTTTAATTGAAAAATGTTTTTAAATAATTGAATTTTTTTAAAAAAATATTAAAATTATTAAAAATAATTGAATTTTGTAAATTACATTAGAAATTTTTAGAAATAATAAATTGAATTACAAAAAATGTTGTTAAATTTCAGACAATAATTAAATTTGACTAAATTGAAAATAATTTATCAAATAATTTAAAATAACCTTTTTTCAAAAAATAATTGAATTTCGGAAGATTTATAGTTTAAAATTATTAAATTTCAAAAATTTTTTAAAAGAAAATTTTAGAAATAATCAAATTTTAGATTTTAAATTGAAATTTTTTGAAAAATAATTGAATTTCTTAAAAAAAAATTTAATTGAAATACATTTTAAAATAATTGAATTTATGAAGAATTTCATTAAAATTATTTAAAATTATTAATTTTGAGAAGAAGAATTTTGGTTAAAAATTTGTTAATTAAAATAAAGAAGCATTGTAATTTTTTTTTTTCTATTTTCAGACACAAAACAAAAAGGATTCTGATATATTAAAAAAAGTTTCAATATTAATTGTGAATCGTGATGATTGTAAGGCAAATTATAAGAAAATAAATCGTCCAATTACTAAAAATATGATTTGCGCTGGTGATTTAAAACAAGGTGGAAAAGATGCTTGTATTAATGATTCAGGTGGACCAATGGTGGCAAATAATAAACTTTATGGAATTGTATCGTGGGGCAATGGTTGTGGTAGTAAAAATTATCCTGGAGTTTATTCACACGTTGCAAATTATATTAATTGGATTAAACAAAATATGAAGATATAATTTTTTTTTTTCTTTAAAAATTCACATTTTTTTTCCAATTTCTGAATATTGAACTGACATTTTTTCTTCTTTACCAATTGGCGAAGCAATAATTTAACGATGTAAATCCAATGTATTAAAATAGGAAATTATTTCACGTAATACAATATCGGGTAAATTTATTTTGAAAAAAATTTTCAAACATTGATCACTCAATTTTAATAATTGATTTTCAAGTTTAGCTCTCATTAAACAAACAATCAATCTATCACCATAAATGGGAAACAATTTTTTTAAATTAATTGAATTTAATAATTTAACAATATTTTTATTTTTCAGAAACATTGAAAATTGTTGTTGTGTTTTTTTTAATATTTCATAAATTGTTACATTAAAACCATCAATTTTCATTGTTTTCATTTTTTCAATTTCCCCACAACATTTAGATTTAAATGCAATTAAATTATTATTAAAATAAAATGAAAAATCAAATAATAATTCAAAATTTGCTGCAATTGCCCACGTGAAAAACTTCCCGGAATTTTTGCAGAGTGATTCTGGGAGTAGTTCCCAGAACATTCTGAGAACATTCCCGGAAAATTTTTGGTTTTTTCCCAGAATTCATAGAATTTTCGTTTCAATCAAGTAATTGATACTCCGGGATGACTCCAACGTACATCCAGATATCCAGGAGTCAATTGGACAACTTCTTCAGGGAAGTTTAGCTGTAATCAAACCATCAATACTCCAGGATGACTCCAACGTTCATCATGATGACTAGGAATCAATTGGAACACTTCTCCAGGGAATTTGAGCTGTTATGAAACAATCGATACTCTAGGATGACACCATAGTACATCATAATGACTAAGAGTCAAATGGACAACTTCTTCAGGGAATTTTAGCTGTAATAAAACAATCGATACTCCAGGATGACTCCAACGAACATCATGATGACTAGGAGTCAATTGGACAACTTCTCTGGGGAATTTTAGCTGTAACAAAACAATCGATACTCCAGGATGACTCCAACGAACATCATGATGACTAGGAGTCAATTGGACAACTTCTCTGGGGAATTTTAGCTGTAATCAAACAATCGATACTCCAGGATGACTCCAACAAACATCATGATGACTAGGAGTCAATTGGACAACTTCTCTGGGGAATTTTAGCTGTAATCAAACAATCGATACTCCAGGATGACTCCATCGAACATCATGATGACTAGGAGTCAATTGGACAACTTCTCTGGAGAATTTTAGCTGTAATCAAACAATCGATAATCCAGGATGACTCCAACGTTCATCATGATGACTAGGAGTCAATTGGGCAACTTCTCCAGGGAATTTTAGCTCTAATCAAACAATCGATGGTCCAGGAGCACTCCAAAGTACATTATAATGACTAGGAGTCAGTTGGACAACTTCTTCAGGGAAATTTAGCTGTATTCAAACAATCGATACTCCAGGATGACTCCAACGAACATCATGATGACTAGGAGTCAATTGGACAACTTCTCTGGGGAATTTTAACTGTAATCAAACAATCGATACTCCAGGATGACTCCAACGAACATCATGATGACTAGGAGTCAATTGGACAACTTCTCTGGGGAATTTTAGCTGTAATAAAACAATCGATACTCCAGGATGACTCCAACGAACATCATGATGACTAGGAGTCAATTGGACAACTTCTCTGGGGAATTTTAGCTGTAACAAAACAATCGATACTCCAGGATGACTCCAACGAACATCATGATGACTAGGAGTCAATTGGACAACTTCTCTGGGGAATTTTAGCTGTAATCAAACAATCGATACTCCAGGATGACTCCAACGAACATCATGATGACTAGGAGTCAATTGGACAACTTCTCTGGGGAATTTTAGCTGTAATCAAACAATCGATACTCCAGGATGACTCCATCGAACATCATGATGACTAGGAGTCAATTGGACAACTTCTCTGGAGAATTTTAGCTGTAATCAAACAATCGATAATCCAGGATGACTCCAACGTTCATCATGATGACTAGGAGTCAATTGGGCAACTTCTCCAGGGAATTTTAGCTCTAATCAAACAATCGATGGTCCAGGAGCACTCCAAAGTACATTATAATGACTAGGAGTCAGTTGGACAACTTCTTCAGGGAAATTTAGCTGTAATCAAACAATCGATACTCCAGGATGACTCCAACGAACATCATGATGACTAGGAGTCAATTGGACAACTTCTCTGGGGAATTTTAACTGTAATCAAACAATCGATACTCCAGGATGACTCCAACGAACATCATGATGACTAGGAGTCAATTGGACAACTTCTCTGGGGAATTTTAGCTGTAATCAAACAATCGATACTCCAGGATGACTCCAACGAACATCATGATGACTAGGAGTCAATTGGACAACTTCTCTAGGGAATTTTAGCTGTAATCAAACAATCGATAATCCAGGATGACTCCAACGTTCATCATGATGACTAGGAGTCAATTGGGCAACTTCTCCAGGGAATTTTAGCTCTAATCAAACAATCGATGGTCCAGGAGCACTCCAAAGTACATTATAATGACTAGGAGTCAGTTGGACAACTTCTTCAGGGAAATTTAGCTGTAATCAAACAATCGATACTCCAGGATGACTCCAACGAACATCATGATGACTAGGAGTCAATTGGACAACTTCTCTGGGGAATTTTAACTGTAATCAAACAATCGATACTCCAGGATGACTCCAACGAACATCATGATGACTAGGAGTCAATTGGACAACTTCTCTGGGGAATTTTAGCTGTAATCAAACAATCGATACTCCAGGATGACTCCAACGAACATCATGATGACTAGGAGTCAATTGGACAACTTCTCTAGGGAATTTTAGCTGTAATCAAACAATCGATAATCCAGGATGACTCCAACGTTCATCATGATGACTAGGAGTCAATTGGGCAACTTCTCCAGGGAATTTTAGCTCTAATCAAACAATCGATAGTCCAGGAGCACTCCAAAGTACATTATAATGACTAGGAGTCAGTTGGACAACTTCTTCAGGGAAATTTAGCTGTAATCAAATAATCAATACTCCAGGATGACTCCAACGAACATCATGATGACTAGGAGTCAATTGGACAACTTCTCTGGGGAATTTTAGCTGTAATCAAACAATCGATACTCCAGGATGACTCCAACGAACATCATGATGACTAGGAGTCAATTGGACAACTTCTCTGGGGAATTTTAGCTGTAATCAAACAATCGATACTCCAGGATGACTCCATCGAACATCATGATGACTAGGAGTCAATTGGACAACTTCTCTGGAGAATTTCAGCTGTAATCAAACAATCGATAATCCAGGATGACTCCAACGTTCATCATGATGACTAGGAGTCAATTGGGCAACTTCTCCAGGGAATTTTAGCTCTAATCAAACAATCGATGGTCCAGGAGCACTCCAAAGTACATTATAATGACTAGGAGTCAGTTGGACAACTTCTTCAGGGAAATTTAGCTGTAATCAAACAATCGATACTCCAGGATGACTCCAACGAACATCATGATGACTAGGAGTCAATTGGACAACTTCTCTGGGGAATTTTAACTGTAATCAAACAATCGATACTCCAGGATGACTCCAACGAACATCATGATGACTAGGAGTCAATTGGACAACTTCTCTGGGGAATTTTAGCTGTAATCAAACAATCGATACTCCAGGATGACTCCAACGAACATCATGATGATTAGGAGTCAATTGGACAACTTCTCTAGGGAATTTTAGCTGTAATCAAACAATCGATAATCCAGGATGACTCCAACGTTCATCATGATGACTAGGAGTCAATTGGGCAACTTCTCCAGGGAATTTTAGCTCTAATCAAACAATCAATAGTCCAGGAGCACTCCAAAGTACATTATAATGACTAGGAGTCAGTTGGACAACTTCTTCAGGGAAATTTAGCTGTAATCAAATAATCAATACTCCAGGATGACTCCAACGAACATCATGATGACTAGGAGTCAATTGGACAACTTCTCTGGGGAATTTTAGCTGTAATCAAACAATCGATACTCCAGGATGACTCCAACGAACATCATGATGACTAGGAGTCAATTGGACAACTTCTCTGGGGAATTTTAGCTGTAATCAAACAATCGATACTCCAGGATGACTCCATCGAACATCATGATGACTAGGAGTCAATTGGACAACTTCTCTGGAGAATTTTAGCTGTAATCAAACAATCGATAATCCAGGATGACTCCAACGTTCATCATGATGACTAGGAGTCAATTGGGCAACTTCTCCAGGGAATTTTAGCTCTAATCAAACAATCGATGGTCCAGGAGCACTCCTAAGTACATTATAATGACTAGGAGTCAGTTGGACAACTTCTTCAGGGAAATTTAGCTGTAATCAAACAATCGATACTCCAGGATGACTCCAACGAACATCATGATGACTAGGAGTCAATTGGACAACTTCTCTGGGGAATTTTAACTGTAATCAAACAATCGATACTCCAGGATGACTCCAACGAACATCATGATGACTAGAAGTCAATTGGACAACTTCTCTGGGGAATTTTAGCTGTAATCAAACAATCGATACTCCAGGATGACTCCAACGAACATCATGATGACTAGGAGTCAATTGGACAACTTCTCTAGGGAATTTTAGCTGTAATCAAACAATCGATAATCCAGGATGACTCCAACGTTCATCATGATGACTAGGAGTCAATTGGGCAACTTCTCCAGGGAATTTTAGCTCTAATCAAACAATCGATAGTCCAGGAGCACTCCAAAGTACATTATAATGACTAGGAGTCAGTTGGACAACTTCTTCAGGGAAATTTAGCTGTAATCAAATAATCAATACTCCAGGATGACTCCAACGAACATCATGATGACTAGGAGTCAATTGGACAACTTCTCTGGGGAATTTTAGCTGTAATCAAACAATTGATACTCCAGGATGACTCCAACGTACATCATGATGACTAGGAGTCAATTGGAAAACTTCTTCAGGGAATTTTCGTTTTAACCAAATAATCAAGTTTCTATGACAACTCCCACGTACATCCAGATACCCAGGTGTGAATTGGGCAACTTCTCCATGGAATTTTTACTGTAATCAAATAATCGATACTCCAGGATGACTCCAACGAACATCATGATGACTAGGAGTCAATTGGACAACTTCTCTGGGGAATTTTAGCTGTAATCAAATAATCAATACTCCAGGATAACTCTAACGTACATCATAATGACTAAGAGTCAATTGGACAACTTCTTCAGGGAATTTTCGTTTCAAACTGATTCTCAATAATTAAAAGAATTATAAACTTGGATTTAATATTTAGGATTATTTAATATTAGGATTCTCACAAAATTATTGTTGTCCCACTTTATTTTACCGAAGGGGTGAAAATCGAAAAATAAGGGTTGATTTTGAAAAAAAGGGGTCAAAAAATTTTTTTTTTAATTTTGTATACTTTTTTGAAAAGTACGTGAAAAAAGCATGAAAATTCATTATAGATAAATTAAAATCCATTAACTTTTGTCATAGTTATACGGATTTGAAAATGACAATGTTACCCTTAACGTCAAAACTTCAACCCCCTCTACTTTTTACAAATATTTTTTTAATGCGTTTATATTTTAGGGATTTATTACTATCATATCGGACAACAATTTACCAAAGTATGAAGCCAATCCCAGAACATTGACTTTTTGGGCTGGGGCGATTGAAAATGAATCTCTCATATAAGAGATGTACATGACATGATATATTTTTTTAGGGGGTTTCATAGACAAGCTCACATGTGCTCAGAAGAGTACTTGATGTTTTAAGCGCCCCTAACTTCATAAAAAATGTATTTTCAATGTATAATCTAACCGGATTGTGAAATCTTAAACACAGAAAAAGCAAAATAACCTATACATTAAAGCCTCATTAATATTATTTATGATATAATTAAAAGTTAATGAATAATTGTTGCTTGAAGTCGGGGCTTCATCTAACCGTTTTAAATTACGACACTGTCCACGTCGAATTTTTCTTAACTTGACTACTAAATATTGAAAAAAAGAGGTCATATATTGTTAAAGAGACTTCTATTAAATAAGAAATTTCGGCTTCTTCTCGTTTTTTCCCCACTTTAGTAGTCAATTTACTAAAAATACATATGAGTTTAACAAAAATTGATACTTAAATTTTCTCCGTGTAAAATTCTCTGAAGAAGTTGACCAATATACTCCTGGGTATCCGGATGTACGTTGGAGTTGTCTTAAAAAATCGATTATTTTGTTGAAACGAAAATTCCCTGAAGAAGTTGTGCAATTGACTCCTAGTGATCATGATGTACTTTGGAGTCATCCTGGATTATCGATTATTTGATTACAGCTAAAATTCTGTAGAGAAGTTGTCCAATTGACTCCTAGTCATCATGATGTACGTTGGAGTCATCCTGGAGTATCGATTGTTTTATTGCAGCTAAAATTCTCTGGAGAAGTTGTCCAATTGATTCCTAGTCATCATGATGTACTTTGGAGTCATCCTGGAGTATCGATTGTTTTATTACAGCTAAAATTCCCTGAAGAAGTTGTCCAATTGACTCCTAGTCATCATGATGTACGTTGGAGTCATCCTGGAGTATCGATTGTTTTATTGCAGCTAAAATTCCCTGAAGAAGTTTTCCAATTGACTCCAAGTCATCATGATGTACGTTGGAGTCATCCTGGAGTATTGATTGTTTGATTACAGCTAAAATTCTCTGGAGAAGTTGTCCAATTGACTCCTAGTCATTATGATGTACGTTGGAGTCATCCTGGAGTATCGATTATTTGATTACAGCTAAAATTCCCTGGAGAAGTTGTCCAATTGATTCCTAGTCATCATGATGTACTTTGGAGTCATCCTGGAGTATCGATTGTTTTATTACAGCTAAAATTCCCTGAAGAAGTTGTCCAATTGACTCCTAGTCATCATGATGTACGTTGGAGTCATCCTGGAGTATCGATTGTTTTATTGCAGCTAAAATTCCCTGAAGAAGTTTTCCAATTGACTCCAAGTCATCATGATGTACGTTGGAGTCATCCTGGAGTATTGATTGTTTGATTACAGCTAAAATTCTCTGGAGAAGTTGTCCAATTGACTCCTAGTCATTATGATGTACGTTGGAGTCATCCTGGAGTATCGATTATTTGATTACAGCTAAAATTCCCTGGAGAAGTTGTCCAATTGATTCCTAGTCATCATGATGTACTTTGGAGTCATCCTGGAGTATCGATTGTTTTATTACAGCTAAAATTCCCTGAAGAAGTTGTCCAATTGACTCCTAGTCATCATGATGTACGTTGGAGTCATCCTGGAGTATCGATTGTTTTATTGCAGCTAAAATTCCCTGAAGAAGTTTTCCAATTGACTCCAAGTCATCATGATGTACGTTGGAGTCATCCTGGAGTATTGATTGTTTGATTACAGCTAAAATTCTCTGGAGAAGTTGTCCAATTGACTCCTAGTCATTATGATGTACGTTGGAGTCATCCTGGAGTATCGATTATTTGATTACAGCTAAAATTCCCTGGAGAAGTTGTCCAATTGATTCCTAGTCATCATGATGTACTTTGGAGTCATCCTGGAGTATCGATTGTTTTATTACAGCTAAAATTCCCTGAAGAAGTTGTCCAATTGACTCCTAGTCATCATGATGGACGTTGGAGTCATCCTGGAGTATCGATTATTTCATTACAGTTAAAATTCCCTGGAGAAGTTGCCCAATTCTCACCTGGGTATCTGGATGTACGTTAGAGTTGTCATAGAAACTCGATTATTTGGTTAAAACGAAAATTCCCCAGAGAAGTTGTCCAATTGACTCCTAGTCATCATGATGTTCGTTGGAGTCATCCTGGAGTATTGATTGTTTGATTACAGCTAAAATTCCCTGGAGAAGTTGTCCAATTGACTCCTAGTCATCATGATGAACGTTGGAGTCATCCTGGAGTATTGATTATTTCATTACAGTTAAAATTCCCTGATGAAGTTGTCCAATTGACTCCTGGATATCTGGATGTACGTTGGAGTCATCCCGGAGTATCAATTACTTGATTGAAACGAAAATTCCATAAATTCTGGGAAAAACCAAAAATTTTCCGGGAATGTTCTCAGAATGTTCTGGGAACTACTCCCAGAGTCACTCTGCAAAAATTCCGGGAACCTTTTTACGTGGGTGATTTTATTTTCAATTTTTTCAATTGTTTTAAATCATAAAAAATTTCACAAGGTAAATCAGAAATTTTTCCACCATAATTAAAAGCAATTTCAATCATTTTTAAATGTTCATTAGTCAATAAAAAATTTAAAGGAAAAGGGGGTCGAAAATGCCCGAAAGTATTCTGCGGACAAAGACAGGTGGATATAGACGGACGTTTAGACGTTTTTTGATGTCCGTCTAGCCGGACGTTTAGACACTTTGTAAATAATAAACAGGAAAAAAAATTATTTGATTCAAATAATAATTGAATACTTGAATATTATTAAATAAATATTTTCTTTGAATCAAATAATTTTTGAGTTAATTAAATTTTGTTTAAAATAATACAAAAATTTCTGAATTTTTGATATGTTTTTAATTTAAATAAAAATTATTTAGCTGAATTAAATATTTATTTCATAACCATCAAGTAACGATTATTTGAAACAAATAATTTCTTTTCAGTTTATATAAAATGAAAATATTTTATTTCTTTAAATAACCGAACAAAATATTATTAGCAAAATTCAACGAATTTAGAAAGTTTTTTAACGAACAAAATATGAGCAATTTTTGGTAAAAATTGGATATTAATTATTAAATAATTGTTTATTAATTTTAAACATAAAACATAATAGGTTAAATAACCATTATTTAATAATAAAATAAAAAATAATTTTCCAACTAAATGATTCAAAAATTCACCAAAAACAAATTTTTAATTTGAGGTTATGTCAAATAAATATTTTTGCTTTAAATATATATACAGTAAGAAAAGTACAAGTGTAGTCATAGGAAAGCATGCGTTACGCATAAGTTTGTCTCACTCGCACTCATGGACTGTGACTACGATGGTACTTTTCTTACAGTATAAGAAATATTAAGTTCCAAGTACTAAATTTCTGTATTCTTGCGAACTTTTAAAATTACAGAAAGTATAATAAGATAAAAATTTTTATTTTAAATTAATATTAGGAAAAAATAAATAGTAACAAACATGATGATCCTGAACTTTTAATTCTTTTTTATTTAAATCATTAAAATTGAAAAATGCGTTTTAAAAAATATCGCTTAGTTATCGTCATCATATAAGGTTATTCAAGTTGGGTGTGGGAAAGCCAAGATGGATGATTGCTGGTGCACAAACATCCGGCCTATCAGCCTATCAGCATTCATTCCCACGAGAAATACGTGGAAATGTGTGCTGATAGACCGGATGTTTGTGCACCAGCTTGGCTTTCCCCCACCCAACTTGAATAACCTTATAGCTCTGTATATAATTATATTTCACTTCCTTGTTCGAAGATATAACTTGTAGTACCGCAACTTGTTGCCAGGTGACGCCACATGTTTAGAGATAGATCAGAGAGAAAAACTCTCCCCTCTCTGTCTATCTCTTAGCTCCGCGTTCCCGCGTCCTCCATTCGTTTCTTGGCGCTGGCTGACGCTACATCGTTATCATGAATGTCCAAGAACAAAAGAATTTTTTTCAAGACGAACTGCGTAGATTAGAGGACCAAATGACTCTCGTCCTAACCCAGATGGATGACTTAGATAAAGCGGAACCAGCACACGAGGAAGGTAAGAAATAAGATAATTTTTCTTGTTCCCTTTGTTTTAGATTCACCAACAGGCATTCCTCCCCTCTCCCAACTAGTAAAACAAAATGTCGGCCGAGTTTCGAATCTTAAGTCGAAACCATGTGCCAATTTCTCACACCGATTCTTGATTTTTAAGTCAAGAACAAAGGTGAATTTGAACTTTTCGTACAGAAAAGTATCTTATAGTTACAGGGACCGAGACAATGGAGGAGGATCCAGTGATATGTGGAGAGGATGATGATCAGGTGGAAGAAACCACCAGATATTTGGGTATTAATCCATCAAAATCGTCCGACGATTTAAAATTAAACGAGGATGTTGCAGCCAGAATAAAAGCCTGGCTCGTTAGGGGATTCGCAACCAAGGAAGAAAAAGAGAAATTATTGTCATCTGTTTCAAAAAAAGGGACAATCAACCTCGAGGCCCCAATTCTCAATGAGGAAGTGCTGGTAGACATTTTCCCAAAATCTCTTACCAGAGACAATTATTTCAAAGAGTACCAAAATTTGACTGGTGCTGCTTTATCCAACATCGCGACCATTTTCGACAGCATCGTGCATGACCAGGAGGATCCGCCCGAGAGAGATACTATACTGGATAAACTCTCATGTTCAGTAAAACTGCTCAGCCATCTTTTCTTTTCATTGTCCTCAGCGAGAAAAGCGTTTCTCCTCGGTAAATACGACGAAAGAATACAAAAAATCTTGAAATCAACAGATCCTACAACCTACCTCTTTGGCGACAATCTCAAAGGCGTTATTGACTCTTCTAAAGCGATGGAGAAGGTCTCGAAAGACTTGAAACCTAAAGTCAACCAAACCGCGAGAAAGAATAATTTTTTAAACTGGAAGAGCCCCTCGGTCAAGAAGGAGGTGAACCGAGGAGGCGGAAGGAGTTATCCGAGACCTGGCACCTCCAAAACGTCACAATATCCGTACAGACCACGCCCATATCCAGCCAAGAGTCATTACCATCAATCACAACCACAGCAGAGTCGACGTTAGAATCTCAACTGGTAAGTTCAGCCGCAAGATTAAATAATTTTCTCTCAAATTGGTCGGAAATCACGAATGATAATTTTGTTTTAAATATTGTAAGGGGTTATAAAATTAATCTTGAACAGGAAGTATTTCAAAATACAATGCCTCGAAAAATAGAGCCAAATAAAGACCTAGATTCCGCTCTAGGTAAATTAATTATAAAGGGAGCAATCGAAACTTGCAAACCCATACAGTTACAGTTCCTGTCAACTTTTTTTCTAACCCCAAAATCAGATGGTTCCCTTAGGTTCATTCTTAACCTCAAAAAATTCAATTTTTTTGTAAAAAAAGAACATTTTAAACTAGAGGACATAAGGACAGCCATTAATTTATTAAGCCACGGTGATTTTATGTGCAGATTAGATTTGACAGACGCATACTTAACAGTACTAATAGACAAAGAGGATCGAAAGTATCTTAGGTTCATATATAGAGACCAGCTTTATCAATTCAAGGCTCTACCTTTTGGGTTATCCTCAGCTCCATTCGTTTTTACTAAATTAGGCAAACCAATAGTAAATTATTTGAGAAGTAATGGCATCAAAGTTGTTGTTTATTTAGATGATTTTTTAATCTTTGGATCAACTGCGTCAGAATGTTTGCATAATACGCAGCAAGCAATTACTTTGTTGAAATACCTAGGATTTTTAATAAATTGGGAGAAAAGCGAACTTAATCCCACAAAATCTTGCAAATTTCTCGGGATGATTATAAACTCGGAAAATATGATAATCGAACTTCCTTTAGAAAAACGTGTTAAAATTCGAGAATTGCTGGATAAAACTTTAATTAAAGGAATGTTGAGTTTTCACAATTTAGAAAAATTTATAGGAGTCTTAGTCGCGGCTTGTCCGGCAGTAGCTTACGGTTGGCTATACTATAAAGAGCTCGAAATCTTAAAACAAAACGAATTAAAAATACCTAACTTTAACCCGAATAAAAAAGTCGTTCTATCCGAGGAAGCTATGAAAGATTTAAAATGGTGGCGTTCGCAAATTGATACCGCTAAGAACAAAATCAGAACTAGTTCTTTCGATTTAGAAATCTTCTCTGATGCCTCCAGCACAGGCTGGGGTGCCACTTGCGGTGAACTTAGAGCCAACGGGTTCTGGAATGAACAAGAGAGGCTTAAACCTATCAATTATCTCGAACTCAAGGCTGCCTTCCTAGCTCTTAAATGTTTCGCGGCCACGGCTTTCAATAACCAAATACTTCTTAGAATAGACAACGTAACCGCTCTAGCTTACATCAACAAAATGGGGGGTACAAAATCCAAAGACTTAAATAAAATCACGCGGCAAATTTGGGAATGGTGTATAGTCAAGGGTATATGGATTTTTGCAGAATATGTGGCTTCCAAAGAAAACCCGGCTGATGAGGGCTCTCGAGTTTGTAACTTAGACACTGAATGGCAGCTAGCGGATTACGCTTTTCAAAAAATCGTGGATAAGTTTGGTTTCCCTTCGATAGACCTGTTTGCGTCGCGAATTAATAACAAATGCGAAAAATATTGTTCCTGGACGAGAGATCCAGATGCTTTTGCCATAAATGCAATGACGATTGACTGGAGAAACGATTTTTGGTTCGCGTTTCCTCCATTCTCACTTATTACTAGAATTTTAAAAAAGATACGAGACGAGGGTTCCAGAGGAATATTAGTAGTTCCACTATGGAAGGTTCAACCCTGGTTCCCAGTTTTTAAGCAACTTCTCATATCAGAAATGATTGTTTTCAATCCTTCAAAACATTTATTACTCTCTCCTTGCAGAAAAATAAGCCACCCTCTGTCGGACAACCTTTCCCTGGCGTGTGGCATTGTATCCGGGAAGCGTTCAAGAAAAAGGGACTGGACGACAGCACAGTCAACATAATGACTAACTCCATCACACCCAGCACGGCCAAGCAGTACAATACTGCGTTAAAGTATTGGTGGCAGTTTTGCAGTTCAAAAAATTTAGATCCCTTTCAAGTTGATGAAATGTCGGTTCTCAGCTGTTTGTCGGAAAAATTTTCCGAAGGAGCGGCTTATGGAACATTAAACACGATGAGGTCTGCGATTTCACTGATCATTTCGGAAGACATCTCTAGAAGCTCATTGCTTCTCCGCTTTTTTAAAGGTGTTTTCAACCTAAGACCTACAGCTCCAAGGTACAACACCACCTGGGACGTTGATGCTGTCTTAAAAACTATAGAGGACTGGGGACCATCGGATCAATTAAACCTACAAAAACTGACGCTTAAACTCTCAATGTTATTGGCGTTAGAATCGGCATTTAGGGTACAGACCTTGGCTTTAATTAATTTCAGTTTAATCAGAATTAGTGACAAGGGCGTTGAAATCAGAGTTCAAGACAGAATTAAAACATCAAAACCCGGAGTTCAACAACCATACGCGTTTTTTCCATTTTTCGAGAACGAAAATCTTTGTTTAGCAAGAACTATCATGTTTTACGTTTCAAGAACCAAAGACTTTAGAGTAAATAGGGTTAACTTACTTTTATCTTTCAAACCGCCATACCAAGAGGTAGGATCTCAAACCATCAGTAGATGGCTTAAGTTAGTTTTAAAAGAAGCTGGAATCGCGGACGAATTTAAAGCCCATAGTACTCGGCATGCCGCGACTTCAAAAGCCCTAATTAAGGGATTAAATATCCAGAAAATCAAAGAGACTGCTGGCTGGTCTAAGAACTCATCCGTGTTTGCAAAATTTTATAACAGACCAGTCAAAAGAACTGAGAAAAATTTCGCCTCAGTGGTATTATCCTAATTTTAAATAAATAGTTCGTGTTTTGTTTTTATTTTTATATATAAGAAGTTCTAACATTATAAATGTTGTCCAGAGACTCTTTATTACTTTCTTAATAGATAAGCTTAATATAAGATAAGATAAGCTTATCTTTGCATTAGTCTTAGTTTGTTTTCCATGTTCTAATTTTGTAAAAAATGAATAAATAAATAAATTGTTCGATTTCCTTAATAAAATTAGTATTTTTCAGAAAGTTTAGCTCTAAACTTCTACAAGTTATATCTTCGAACAAGGAAGTGAAATATAATTGATGATTAAACGAACTTCTTGTGATGAAGTTCAATCATAATTATATGAACGACTTGTTCGAAGATATAGTTCCCTCCCTGTTCCCACTCCCTTAAACATAATTTAAATTTTACTCTAAACTAAATGAAGGACGCGGGAACGCGGAGCTAAGAGATAGACAGAGAGGGGAGAGTTTTTCTCTCTGATCTATCTCTAAACATGTGGCGTCACCTGGCAACAAGTTGCGGTACTACAAGTTATATCTTCGAACAAGTCGTTCATATAATTATGATTGAACTTCACAAGAAGTTCGTTTAATCATCAATTCTATGTAATACATATATGTCGCTCTTTCATAAACTGAGTTGTGTTTGTAAAAATTACCACATGCTCAGTATTGGCGCTGCTAGTCCGGAATCTACAACGACATGTGATAAAACATTCGAAATATAAGATAATTTTATACATTCCCAATCCTGGTAGGAGAAGATTGACAAATATTTATTGTTACTGTCAAAATAAATTGTTTACTACATATTTCAGCTAAATTCGTATGATTTATTAAAAATGTGATTGTTTATTACTAAAAAAAAGTGATAAGTGCTATATATGTACACAATTATACAAAATTTAGTCTCCAGTATCGGTAAGTTTATTTCACATAAACACACACTTACAGATATATGTCAACTATCAATTACGTTTATTTTATTTTTAATTAAATTTTCGTATTATTAACAAATTTTTTAAAACTATTTTTTTGTAACTCCATGTGTGCCACTTTTATCTTTCATTTACACAAAAAAAATGAATTTGATTCATTTTTCACACAAAAATCTGTCGATTACAAAATCTGTTGCAAAAGATAAGCCATACATTTTTTGTTCGAGACTTTTTGCTCAATTTTTTGGCATTATTACCGAGTCATTATCTGGCAAATTTTTTTTTTGGAAATTTTTTTCCCAGTTTTAGTGAGTGTAGCTCAGCATCCGCTGGACCAATCAAAAAGTGCGCCATACATTTTTTGTTCGAGAGTTTTTGCTCAATTTTTTGGCATTATTCCCGAGTCATTATCTGGAAAATTATGTTTTTCAAAATTTTTTTCCCAGTTTTAGTGAGTGTAGCTCAGCATCCGCTGGACCAATTAAAAAGTGCGCCATACATTTTTTGTTCGAGAATTTCTGCTCAATTTTTTGGCATTATTCCCGAGTCATTATCTGGAAAATTTTGTTTTTCAAAATTTTTTTCCCAGTTTTAGTGAGTGTAGCTCAGCATTCGATGGACCAATCAAAAAGTGCGCCATACACTTTTTGTTCGCTACTTTTTGCTAAAGACTTGGCGGTATTTCCGAACGATTATCTCGCAAATTAAATTTTTCTAAAATTTTTAGGAAAATTATTTGAATGTAGCTCAGCATCCGCTGGACCAATCAAAAAGTGCGCCATACATTTTTTGTTCGCTACTTTTTGCTACCCACGTGAAAAGGTTCCCGGAATTTTTGCAAAGTGATTCTGGGAGTAGTTCCCAGAACATTCTGAGAACATTCCCGGAAAATTTTTGGTTTTTTCCCAGAATTCATGGAATTTTCGTTTCAATCAAGTAATTGATACTCCGGGATGACTCCAACGTACATCCAGATATCCAGGAGTCAAATGGACAACTTCATCAGGGAATTTTAGCTGTAATCAAACAATCGATACACCAGGATGACTCCAACATACATCATGATGACTAGGAGTCAATTGGGCAACTTCTCCATGGAATTTTAACTGTAATCAAATAATCGATACTCCAGGATGACTCCAACGTACATCATGATGACTAGGAGTCAATTGGACAACTTCTCTGGGGAATTTTAGCTGTAATCAAACAATTGATACTCCAGGATGACTCCAACGTACATCATGATTACTAGGAGTCAATTGGGCAACTTCTCCAGGGAATTTTAACTGTAATAAAACAATCGATACTCCAGGAGGACTCCAACGTACATCATGATTACTAGGAGTCAATTGGGCAACTTCTCCAGGGAATCTTAATTGTAATCAAATAATCGATACTCTAGGATAACTCTAACGTACATCATGATGACTAGGAGTCAATTGGACATCTTCTCTGGGGAATTTTAGCTGTAATCAAACAATCGATACTCCAGGATGACTCCAACGAACATCATGATGACTAGGAGTCAATTGGACAACTTCTCTGGGGAATTTTAACTGTAATCAAATAATCGATACTCCAGGATGACTCCAACGTACATCATGATGACTAGGAGTCAATTGGACAACTTCTTCAGGGACCTTTCTTTTTACCCAAATAATCGAGTTTCTATGACAACTCCAACGTACATCCAGATACCCAGATGTCAATAGGGCAACTTTTCCAGGGAATTTTAGCTATAAACAAACAATCGATACTTTAGGATGACTCCAACGTACATCATGATGACTAGGAGTCAATTCGACAACTTTTCCAGAGAATTTTAGATGTAATCAAATAATAATTCTCCAGGATGACTCCAACGAACATCATGATAACTAGGAGTCAATTGGACATCTTCTCTGGGGAATTTTAGCTGTAATCAAACAATCGATACTCCAGGATGACTCCAACGAACATCATGATGACTAGGAGTCAATTGGACAACTTCTCTGGGGAATTTTAACTGTAATCAAATAATCGATACTCCAGGATGACTCTAACGTACATCATGATGACTAGGAGTCAATTGGACAACTTTTCCAGAGAATTTTAGCTGTATTCAAATAATAATTCTCCAGGATGACTCCAACGAACATCATGATGACTAGGAGTCAATTGGACAACTTCTCTGGGGAATTTTAGCTGTAATCAAACAATCGATACTCCAGGCTGACCCCAACGTACATCATGATTACTAGGAGTCAATTAGACAACTTCTTCAGGGAATTTTAACTGTATTCAAATCATCGATACTCCAGGATGACTCCAACGTACATCATGATGACTAGGAGTCAATTGGACAACTTCTCCAGAGAAATTTAGCTGTAATAAAACAATCGATACTCCAGGAGGACTCCAACGTACATCATGATTACTAGGAGTCAATTGGGCAACTTCTCCAGGGAATTTTAACTGTAATAAAACAATCGATACTCCAGGATGACTCCAACGTACATCATGATGACTAGGAGTCAATTGGACAACTTCTCCAGGGAGTTTTAACTGTAATCAAATAATCGATACTCCAGGATGACTCCAACGAACATCATGATAACTAGGAGTCAATTGGACATCTTCTCTTGGGAATTTTATCTGTAATCAAACAATCGATACTCCAGGATGACTCCAACGAACATGATGATGACTAGGAGTCAATTGGACAACTTCTCTGGTGAATTTTAACTGTAATCAAATAATCGATACTCCAGGATGAGTCCAACGTACATCATGATGACTAGGAGTCAATTGGACAACTTCTCTGGTGAATTTTAACTGTAATCAAACAATCGATACTCCAGGCTGACCCCAACGTACATCATGATTACTAGGAGTCAATTAGACAACTTCTTCAGGGAATTTTAACTGTATTCAAATCATCGATACTCCAGGATGACTCCAACGCACATCATGATGACTAGGAGTCAATTGGACAACTTCTCTGAGGAATTTTAGCTGTAATCAAACAATCGATACTCCAGGCTGACCCCAACGTACATCATGATTACTAGGAGTCAATTAGACAACTTCTTCAGGGAATTTTAACTATATTCAAATCATCGATACTCCAGGATGACTCCAACGTACATCATGATTACGAGGAGTCAATTGGGCAACTTCTCCAGGGAATTTAAACTGTAATCAAATAATTTATACTCAAGGAT